TGTTGTTCACAGAAAAATAGATAGTGCTAGAGAGAGAAAGAGAGAGGGAGAAAACAAACTCATAAAATAAAGATTTTTAGTGTATTATGTAATATTATATATAGTCATAAATAGTTATTGACGAAGACGAATTTTCCCTCTCAATAAATAAGTTGATATACGGATGCATCTAAACTCTAAATTGAATTTATGTATATACACATGGTCAAGTACACACGCGAATTATGGTTTTCAACAGATTTATCGGCTACGAATGCTAGAGATATAATATTTTGAGTATATTGCCAATTATGTGTGTGTAATATGGTGTGGATTACGAGTGAAATGAAATTTGAGATTGGATTGCGCAATCGAATTCATACAGTAGTAAAATGTTATTAAACAAATGGTTGATTGAAGACGGTTATTACTTATAAGTTATAACATATTAATAACATAATGCAGCTGCACCAGTGCAATGTATAATTTTTCGCTTTAAGTGTAGATAGATGATATTTTAATAATTGATATTAACATATAGCTTCGTATCGTACAATACATTATGCATCATTTAATATTTCAGTGGGAGGTCCCCTAGTGTTTCAAACGACCTGCCGTTATAACAACCGTAGCCAGGCTTGACCTCAACTCTTATCCAGCTACACTACAGACGGATTCAATTTGCGTCACTGTTTTATATTATACTGTGTTTATTGTACACAACCATACGTCGACAAGTCGACAAATCTCTTAAATGCAGTTCAGCATAAATTGTCATATTATGTCGTTCAAAAAAAAAAAAAAAAAAATGTATCATAGCTAAGAACTATTTGTCATGCTACAAAATTTTTTTCACTCACGCCCATTTTGATTTATCGATTTTCAGTCGAAACAACACTCGCTGCCACTGCAACCTCGAAACCTTTTGCATTTTTATTCCTTCCCTTCGATATATATTAATACGTCTTATACATAGCTACATAGGTATTATATAGATAAATTTGACATAATAGAAAAACAACATACACGGCAGCTGTATAACGTGTATCGTAATCCTTCATACATCCATTTAATGATGCACAAAGTCCATTTTTATTTGAAGAATATTAACGGTTTTGAATGTATTTAATTTTGCATTATTCAAGGTCATATCTGTAAATTTTTGAAAAATTATTTTAACATATATTTTTATTGTAGTTTATATTTATAGGTTTTTAGTTTTTTGAACCACAATATGCATTTTTTAACTCCATATTCCAAAACAAAATATGTTTCTGGTGGATTTTGATTTGTAAATATTAAACTTTGAGCTAGTGGTTAATTACCTATACAAATATTCAAAGTTATGATGAGTATATTCTGATTTGGACCTACAATACGATATTGGTTCACTATTTTGCTTATACCTTTACTTTACCTCTTTTAAAACTTGATTTTTATTTATTGAAACTCTCAGAAAAAATATTCTATTTCAGAGTATAAAATTTATAAAATATAGTTAGATGTTTAACTGGTTAATTTGCTGAATTTAAATTCATTAATAAACCATTACAACTGAACAATGACTCCGAGAAAAGACTGTGTGAAAGTTAATGTGTCAGCACCATACACTAAAATAGGAATAGTAAAAATCTATATTTAAAAACAAATTGTCTTGAAATGACACAAAATTACGTAAAAATATATTTTCAAAAAATCAATAATTTTCGAAATCATATTAGTCTTTACTGTTAAAGTATCGCTTTGTATATACGTATATTTTATATTTTCTGATTGATTTAACCAAATTGTATGTTGAATTTATCAGTATATTAATGAAATGATTGCAAGAGATGAAAAAGTATTGCTGTATGTACAAAACTAATTAGGATATATTTTACTAAAGAGTAATGTTTGGACAATAAAACATTCTGTTAAAATCTACGATCAATTATTGTTGTAGTTATAGAATGTTTGGTAATTTTTATCAGACTTGATTATTTATCAATCATCAAAGGTTTTGGTTGCCAGCATTAAAATAAGTTCACTTAAAGTATATTGTAAATTTGTAAAGGTTACAGAATGTTTTATATCCACAGACATAACCAAATATTCTGGTTATGGTAGCGATATTCTTATAATGGCAGCAATATTCTGGCCTTATACACAAGTTATTTTTTTCCAAGTAGGTTCATTCCTTAGATCATATACAATGGATGGAGTCATAGCATACTACGCGTATAAAATGAGTTGATGCCAACATTACTATAGGACCTGTGACATCTGCGCATGCGTTACTGCTTATTATAATATATCAATCTGTTTTCCCGCTTAAAATTGACTTTAGGTAATTTGAATTTTCAAACCATTTGAACAAACAAATATTAAAAATTATAAAACTTATTTAATATTATTATGTTCATTTCACTTTGCAGAAACTGATTTTCGTAAATGTGTTAAGAAATAACAATTAAAGAAACTTAAAAAACATATTTTATAGTTGTTAGTGTTGTTACTTGTTTATCTTAACTGCGCCCCTGCTCTGCGCCAAACATTAATGATAAGAGACCACACGCATACGCATATCACCGAGGTCCTACAATGATGTTGGCTTCACAAATAGTTAGTATGGCTCTATCCATTGTATATGATCTAAGGTTCATTCGGTACTTGCAATAATCAGTTTTCAATTATTCCCCCTCACTAATTTATACTATATTAATACCTATATAATACGCGTAATAATTTCGTATTGCATGCAAAAATAACCTCTCATTAGTCGTTTTCCTAAAAGGTTTTATACATAGGTATTGTGCTATATTGGTTAATATATATATATATATATATATATATAAATATAAATATAATTTATCAATTTCTTTTTTACTCGCTTTTGTGTTCAATCATGTCTAATAATGAGTGTGCTTTTGATGAGTTGGACGTTTGAAACTTATTGGAGTACATAAAATATTACTGATATAATTTATTATAATATTTTGTTATTTTTTTACTGTTTCATCGGATCGAATACTACACAGGTCGACTTTAACATGCGCGTATATAGACCGTAAGGAATATGAAAGGACATATAAAATGAATATACGCGACATTACTGTTTTAATTTACTTTTTTTTCAAAGAAGTTCATTTTATTTCTGCATTGTGCTCATGTACTCGTGTATAATTTAATACCCGAGAAATAATAAGAGAAACGTAAAAAAAGTATATTCGGATTATAACTTCATCATTCCTTTTTACCTATCCACTGTTCGTTTTTTGCGCATTATTTTACTGATTAAATCTGAACTACGATTTAAAACGTCTTAACCATCTGTTTTCGGATACAATGCACATACTCGTATACCATGTAAAACAAATTTCATCTATTTGTCGTTTGATACAATATATCGTATCAACGTGTAGTTTACTTAATGCGTTACACCGTGTAAAAAACTAAATCAACACCTATTATTAAACTTGTCTTGTATGATATTATATTGTCTTCATTAGCCGTCGTTTAAAATAACGTCTTACATAACTATTATTTAAAGTCGACTTATTATATTTATACTATTTACATTTTGTATTATGCAGTATTATTATTATAGTGTGATCGATGATAAAAGTGTTTGCTTATTTTCGAAATGTCAAGCAATAAGAGAGTGTAACGTTTATTATTTTACGTATATTAATAGAAAAATGATTGTACATGGAATATATGGTTTTTGGTGTTTGTTAACATACAAGGTCAGAGAATTAATGTCGCCTCGTATAGACATAACACAAGTTCGTGATGTATTTACGTAAAAATATTCGGTAGCATATAGTATTAAATTATAAGCACAGTTGTTGGTGTATTTTCGATAGTATACCTATCGCCGTAATTCGTTAAACTGATAAAAATCGACGAGATAATAATAATTAATAAATAATAAGAGTGAAAATAATATTTTTCTTTCATCCCAGTGTTTAATTATAATATATGGTAATGGATGCGCGTATCTATTGTAGTGTTTTACACGCATAGGTGTAACTACATACAATGTACATATATATCATATATAAACTAAGTTAATTATAGTAATAGTGCGTTAAATGGATCATTTTAATTTAAAAATGCATGCAATTTTTCGAAAACAAAAATACATTGATATACTATATAAGTAGGTATATTATTATTTTTAATTAAAATTAAAAACATATACATAATACCTATGATTTATCGATATTATAATGTAATATGTATAATATTATGTATAGAATATTGTTAAGAATTTTCCACGTTTTTTGTTTTCATTTTTCGAGTTTAGTTTACCTACAGTTCTTTTTCCATGCGAATTCCTTTGAATAATATTACATTATTTTAGTTTAATCAACATTAATCTACGCATCTATATATTCCACAAAACGTCACGGAAAATAGGTACCTAATACACATTCGCTTTGTCAAAACATTTGGAGTAAACACAGTGGAATAAATTATCGATACGCCTACGCTCCGCGAAAACTGTACATCGACTTACCCGTAAACAACATACCAACCTCGATACTTGACCTCTATTACTCTAGATATATGTAGATACCTACACTACTGTATAGAGTAATTTTACATAATTGTTTATGATTCATTGTCCATGCGTACACGAAAGAACAGATTTGTGTGAAAATCCGATTTCAAGCACCAGAACATACTGCATCATACCTTGTTAAAAACAGAAATCCGTTAATAGGACAAAATTAATATTCCCCATGTATCGCCTCTCAAGTATACACACAAATATTTATTCATAATATATTCATATTTTTGTTATTATTAACATAATATTATAATATTTATAATAATGAACTGTCGTCTTGCTGTGGCGCCGTTCACATTAGTTAGACCGAATTATTGCAATAATGAACGTAATGTTTTTGTATTTCGAATTGGACATTTTCCAAGTATATTATTTATTATTAAATTGTGCGTTTAAAATATATTATTATATACTTAGTGTAGTATTGAAAAAAAATTTAATTTTGTGTTTTGTTTGCTTTTTCCAGATCAAACCCGTTCATATTGTGTCTAGAGTGATGAAAATGTATAAGTAACATTAATTGCACATCAAGGAAATATAAATCAACAAGGTATTTTACGCTTAACAATGTATTATTGTAAATATTATGTTTTAAAATTTTAATTTATCATCAAACGATGATTTCGTAGAAACGCCGATTCGTAATCATTTATCGTGCAGACGACCAATTCTAAAATATATATATTTTATATAAATATAATATATTATACTTATGATATTATTCAGAATGAGTCCTAACGCTACAGACTCAAGTACCATACTCAGGGAGGAGAGAAAAATGCCCAACGGTTGTGCTAACGGATGGTCGACTGTGTCAGATTCGGCCGAGAAGCAGTGTTGGAAAGGTCAAGCATTTCTCAAAATTAACGAAATCGTCGGCCTGGTCAAGTATTATTGTTTGCGAGCATACATTATATTTTGGCGTGAGTATCAAAAATATGGCAATGTTATAATAAAATTGAGGCTTTACTGTTTGTGTTCATGGGCATACGATAAAATTATGTTTTTATAGATGAGCTGTCTATGAACCCGAGGGTGAGGAGTAGTCCGTTTAGTCCACCGCCGGTCGACGAATTAGTATTGTCAGCTGACGATGTATTCTCTACGAGGCGTCGACGTTTATTTTTCACAAGTATTCATTTGCTGGCTCTGGCTGGTCTCTACTTCTGTGTCACGGGTCAGGTGAAGCTGTATACCGTACTATTCGGTAAGTTTTTAGTTTCTTATATTATACATTTTTTAAATATTATTACACATCACCACTACAACATTCGAAAGGAGGCAAAATTTGTCATTCGGTGCAGTATGTAACTTAGGGTTCTAGTAAGGAATTATTTTTCTTAGTTTTTGTACAAAGATCAAGTTCTTCAAAGAGTTCAACAAATACCCTTATATGTTTTATATAGTACAATAAATGAGATTGTTAAAAATGTAAATCGATTTGTAATACACAAGTACATACATATATTATAATACCATGAAAATATAATATTATAGCTGTTTAAAATAAAACTGTTTATAAAATATTAAATTTTACATAATGCAGGCTTGGTGTATTGAATTTGATAGTTATTAAAACATATTTGAAACGAAATTTTATGTATATTGTTAAAAGTGAATTAAAAATATAATTATATATGAACCACGATAGCAAATTTTCATGTTCATTTTAAACGAACTGATTAAATATAAAAATTAAAAACTGTTTGAAAATAATTAAGTTGGTAGCTCATTACTAGTACAGTGGTCTTCTATCTACTATCTAGTTAAAAAATAACTTTTTTAAATGATCACTCTTTATACGATTTTTACTGAAAACTATAACCAATTATTTTTGTAGTATACTTTGAATCACGATAGTTAATCACAATACACAGTTAATTGTTATAATTGCTGTTATCAAGAATAGCCAAAACGAGTTAAATGGATGAATGTTGTGAAAATATTACTTAAAAAACTCTTTTAGACAATATTTTAAATCATAGATAATATTTTTTTTCCATTTTATAATGTGACACAATAATTTATATTATACGCTAAATTACTTCGAAATCGTAAAGAGTTGACAATTCTGTCAGAATAAAAATATAATGTGTAATTATATTTAATTATGCATAAATGATGTATAATGTAATAAATAATAAAGGTAAATTAAATATGTAAAAATTGATTTAAAAAATTAAAGCATTGTGTAAAGTGAAAATAAATATTAAAGTTTTATTTTAAATTCTTTGATTTTGGACAAAAGGAATTACGTTATTTATTTATTTAATTTTAATAAAAGTATATTTAGAGAGGGAAACAAGGCAAAATACAGATATTAAAATATGAATATTGTATTAAATATTTTAATAAATTAGGTAAATAAAATAAATCTCTACATTATCAAATACGTTTAAAGTATTTATTGGTGGTCGATATCACGTGGACTGTTATACTTATACAATATAATTATGTTCGTATCGCAATTAAATTAATTTATAGCCACAGTGGTTCCCAGTATTTTTGGATACACGCCCTTTTTTAAGAGTCTTCAGGAATTATGGCGCCTTCATAAATTTTACTGTAACAAATGTACATAAATTATATGATTTTAACCGTATAAATAATAATAACTCATTTTCATCCCTAAGTATGTGCACTTGTTTATACATTGATACTTGAGATATTTTTACTGCGTTAACAACATTACGATTATATATTATATAGACTGCAAAGCATTATTTTTTTTTTAGTACAAAATCAAAAAGAAACATTTAATCTCAAGTCTTTCGTCCCTCTGTGAACATTCAGAACAACGCCCCCATTGCGAACCAGGCAACTCTGTGTAGCTCTATACTCCCGATGTCACATAATCGTATCATCTTTCTCTTGTCCCAATACAATAATACTAATAATAAATAATTCAGTGTTAGGTGAGTTACTGTTTGCATGTAATAGAATCACTTTATTCGTTACTATTGAAGATCGAATCGTAATGAAAAAAACACTTAACATTTTACAAAAAAAGAAACTTTATTACTTTTGGGTTACATAAACCCGAGATTTATTACGCGTTTTATTTTAGAAATATATTACTTGTCAAAGATAGGTATTTAGTTATAAATTATTAAACATTATCATTACTTGGAAAATAATTCAAACGGAATCTGTTGTTTTTGTTTAAATATTTTTTTTTTTATATATAAAAATTGTGATGTGTTTTCATTTCTACTATTTCAAACCGTGTTCTAGAACTCATATTAATCATACAACTATTTAATATTTGCCTTATCTAGAAAATTATTTTAGTCATGACTCGTGAACTATGTTTGATAATAATGTAATCCAAGATATCATAATATATGAAATATTTGTCTAAATTAAAAAAAAAAAACAAACGTTATTAAGAGTCCACTACGTATTACCACATTCGTTACGAGAACGTCATAATAACAGCCGATAAAAATGATGATATTTTATATAGAACAGAAGAGTTTTGGGCATTAATTAATTCCATCATAACCTAATTTCTACTATATTCATCGTTTAAATAACTTCTATACAATCAAGTTTTCATACTATTGATTTTTTGGTTGCTGCAGTTTCAACTGTTTATGGTCAACCGCGTGTCGTGGCTAATATTCAATCCTTAAGCTATAACAAACTGAATGCTCTGCACGTTTTTAATTATACAAAAGAATTTGTGCAAATTTTCGGGAATTTAACGAATTTTATCAAAACCCGATTCGATTTGATTGACATATCGATCCGTTTTTTATTGCAGCGCTCGCGGTCGGCACCATGTCGTCGATCGGCGTGACGGCCGGTTCGCACAGGCTATGGTCGCACCACGCGTACAAGGCCAAGCTGCCGCTGCGCATCATCCTAGCCCTGTTCCAGACGGTGGGTGTGCAGTACAGCATTTACAACTGGGTGCGCGACCACCGACTGCACCACAAGTACACGGACACGGACGCGGACCCGCACAACTCGAACCGCGGGTTCTTCTACTCGCACATCGGCTGGGCGCTCATGATGCCGCACCCGGCATTTGAGTCCAAGGTGTCGTCGGTGGATATGACCGACATGGAGTCGGACTGGGTGGTGATGTGGCAGTACAGGCTGTACGCGCCGCTGGCCGCCGTCCTGTCGTACGTCCTGCCCACCGTCGTGCCGTGGTGGCTGTGGGGCGAGGACCTGCTGGTCGCGCACCTGGTGGCCGCTCAGCTCCGGCAAGTGCTCACGCTGCACTCCACGTTCCTCATCAACAGCGCCGCTCACATGTGGGGACTCAAGCCTTACGATAAGTGAGTGTGATTCCGGCTGAAATTTAAATAAATATTTAATCAAAAGCCTTAATAGTTTATTAATGCAGTACAAAATGCATTATAATTCACAAAAAGTACACTATATTAATATGAAAAACGCAATTATAAAAGTAAAAAAAAAAAACAATACTTTATAATAAACTATAGAAATAATGTTCATTATTATCGACAAAAATTACACAGTCCTAGTGATACCTAATAAGTAACAATAACGAGTGTTCCGTTCCGATCGCAATATTGAAACTTGAGTATTCAGTGTGATTTTCTTATCCCACAAGTCCAGTCCATGGGTTTCCAAACTTTTTTTTATTCGAGGGCCACATGAAATAAAAAAAGCTCCTAGCGGGCCAAAATGTATGTACACATATAATTTATAAGCTACAGCTCGTAAATTATAATACAGCTGATAATTGGACGTGCGCGCGATAATGACCTTGGAAACTAACCATATTTTTAGATTATTTGCCGTCATTTGGCGGGCTGATGAAAACTTGTTCGCGGGCCGGATGCGGCCCACGGGCCGTAGTCAGGAGACCCCTGGTCTAGTCGATTAGCCGTTAAAGTATCTATGTTTAGGTAACTTGCCTATCTATGGTAATAATAATATAATATGGTAAATGGTCATTAATCCAAAATATCGACGCCTTTAAAACTACGCTATTTCTGCAGATTTATACATCGATCGGATGAAATGTCTTATTTAAGTTATGATTATAAATAATCGTGTACGCTTTAGAAAAAAATTCGCTTAGACTTTAATTGAACGATTTTGTCAATACATTACATCAATTACTGTCAGTAATTTACATGCGTACCTACAGTATAAAGTGTATTTTTTCTACTGTTTTTCGTGCCAACTTTACCACCGCCGCGTAAAAGTAATGATTTTCAGGTGTGTTCGTCTAACAATACAAAATCGTTGATTGTGGTGAGGTAACAACTATGCTCATCATTAAGTCGTACACCTAAATACTTTTATGTACGGGATAAATTCAGCATAAATCATTTTTATTTGAAAAATTTCCTATCAACGGTTCGTGATAAGAGATTTGTCCAACAAAGACCTCTACTAGACACCTTAATGACAAACATTTCATTACGCTTTATAAACGCCTTCTATTGCGGTGTACCGGTGTTGTTACCATATTAGTGACCGATAAAAATGAAAGGATTCCTACCCATCATAAATATACCTACCAATAATCATCTACCGGCACCTAAGAGAAACCTTTCCTAACAATCTAATATAACTAGCTATAATTTTACAAAACTCTCTTCATCTTCTGTAATTAATCTGTGTTTGTGTATAAATAATGTGGCCAATGCAAAACATTTGTATAATTTATATAATATACGTTTTGAACGTCTAACGAAAAGTCTCAATCACTTATCCTGTTTATTATATATTCAATGGTAGCACTTATATGTACATATAATCCCTACGAAAGTGCCAAAATCTAGCGAAATAATCTATCTAGCTCTATTGGAGATGGCGAACCGCGGCATCACCTTTTTTTTTTTTACTATTCTTTCCCTTAGAAATGAGATTCTTCCGAAAATCGGATTTATCGGGTAACACCATAGGATTTTTACTATGGATGAGATGACTACTGGGTTCATGATTTCCCTCCCTCCGCTTATTTACTCACACTATATAGGCCGTAGCTCTCACGATTAGTGGTCTGTGGTGGGTAAAAGAAAAACCGCTTACACTGCTCTTTTATAGTACCTACATATAACGGGTATAACATGATTCCACTAAAAACGTACCTTTTTACTGTTACAAGTTTACAACACTCAACAACACCTATTTCCACCAAATTAAATATTGTCTGATTTCGCTTTTCCCCTAAAAAATGTCTGTGCTTTAAACTTAAAACTTGTTAAACAGAAAGTTTATATAAAATAGGAACTAAAAATATTGAAAAACCGTATTATTATACATTTTAATATAATAATAAATATTGTAATACTCGTTATGTAGTTATTATTATTATTATATTAAAAAAAATGTATATATATATAAAGCATGTAGCAATTAAAAAAATAAAAACTAATTATATTGTTACTTGTAACTATTTCATTATATTTCTCATTTATTGGTATAGTACCTATTGTTACACTAAAATAAATTGAAAACTTGACAACGAATAATACAGAATACAACTGATTTATTATTGCTTCTAGACATAAGAGTACGTATGTGTACAATAATAAAGTACATTTATTAAAACATATACAATTATATGTCTAAACCATGCTGCTTATTATTTTTCAATATTTTATAATATTTTAAATAAACTTATTGCATATCAGTTTTTGCTCCAAAGGGGTAACACCCTTTAAAACGGTTTAAAATCCACATTTCACGGGTTAGGGACGACTGATTTATTACGGTAGGTTTCGTGTTTGTGTATAAATCATATTAGACGATTTTGGTGTTAATGCACTATTCTATTGTAAATGATTAAAGCGTTTTTCAAACGGTTAAACCAGCTGCGTAACTCGGTCGTCGAGATTAATAATTGTATCGCGAATCGATTGCCATTTTTCTTTTACGCACCTTCGATAGCATATTATACACCTCTGTCTACAGTCGAGTGATCAAAAGATCACCGCTATCCGAGAATCGATAGAACTATTTAATTATTAGACTTTTAACCGTCATTCGTTGGAGATCACGAATTCACGTGTCTCAGATCAGACCTTGAAATTTAAAGTAAACTGCGGGGTTAAATGCCGTGAGTGGTGTGACTGCTTAGTGCTTATAGGTAAAACGTAAAACAGACGGTCACATTCGAAAATCCTTATCAATATAAACGATGCGAATACACGCGACAGTTCTCTGGGTTAGGAGCACAGCTGTGCTCGCCCGTAGGTATACAGCGTGACGAGATGACACTGTTCGTTCGCGACTTGAATATTATTTCACTTCGCGTCGGCTCCGCTCATAATATTTTGCGGCCCACACCTAATACCCAATACCCATACTTTTTACATTAAACTTACATTAAACAAACGTCATCAGACGGCGACAACAATTGTTTGGCGGACCCACTCGTTAGTCTATTAACAAAATATATTTACTTATATATAATATTCGATCGTTTCGGCAGGCGCACGGAACGAATAATAATACTAACGTCGTTTTTCCCGTTTCGTTTTCCCTCCAGGAACATCAATCCTACCGAGAACATGTTCGTGTCGGTGGCCACGTGCGGCGACGGCTGGCACAACTATCACCACACGTTCCCCTGGGACTACAAGAACGCCGAGCTGCTCGACTACAAGCTGAACCTGTCCACGCTGTTCATCGACGCGTTTTCGCTGATCGGATGGGCGTACGACCTGAAGACCGTGCCCACCGAACTGGTGTCCAAGCGGGCCCTGCGCACCGGCGACGGTACGCGCAAGGTGCCGACCACCGACGCCGCGGCTGCCGACGGCGCACGGACGGCGGCGGCGACGTGTACGAACGTGTACGGCTGGTCGGACAACGATCTGCCCGACGAGGACCGCCAAATGGCTCAAATATACAAGAAAAGTGATTAGTGCGATGCGTCGTCGAGTTTCGCTGCCGAGTGGGCGGTGAGATGGGTGGGACGGGTGGTTGGGGTGGGAGAGGGAGGGGGTTTGGAGGTTTTACCAATATTTTCATTATTCTCAGGTTTTTTTTTTTTTTGTTTTTATTTTTCATTTCCATAATATGTTTTATCAACACTTTTATTATATTATCGGGGGACGAGTGGGGTTTATTTTATTTTATTTTTTTTGTTTTTCTCTTTCTTTAAATCATTTCTCAGCTGAAAATAAATACGATTAGGTATTATAATAAATAATAATATAACGGTTGTAATATTTACGACGATAAGCGCATCCGCGATAGTCCCGGCAGCTTTGCAACGAACGCGAGCAATAATTGAGAATCGTTATCATCATCGTCAACGTCGTTGTCCGTCGTGTATAATAATAATATTTATTATATTGGGCGGCCGAGGGTGTTTGGGCGCAAAGTGTCCGGGACGGTCTCGTGCGCTTAACTATCAAAAAGACTGCAGGGCCTATATAGGATGACTCGTCGAAAATTCGAGTGATTAAACGTTTGATGTAATAATATATTATATATTTTTATGGTGACTTCGAAAATAATATTATCCACACACACACACACATTGTATGTTTATTTATATCGTGTAGTTATAATATATAGCAATACTTATGTGTAATACGCCTATATTATAGTATAAGAAGTTAGAATTTCTAATTTATATATATATATATATACATACATAATATATATTAGACGACAGCGTATTTTATATACTAAAAAACAGGAGTGTGATTGATTGACCGATCGATTTGTTTTTTTAACAGGCACTTCTTTTTTTTCACGCACACACACACGTAAGTAAATGTCTTGTTTACATCGTTAATCTCTCTGGACTTGATCTTTGAATTTAGAAAAACCACAACGTTTTTCTCTCGTACAATTTTTTTTCAGCGGCTATATAGACGCATGACGTGTATAGTATTATATATATATCATGGCGATTTTATTATCTTTAATATCATAATATTTTATGGATCGCACCATAACGCGATCATCCGACTCTTACAGTTATGCACGACAAGCTCGTGTATTATTGTGAATTAAACATATTAAAATGATATAGGTACGCGGTCGCGTCATATAATGATAATAATATGTTTCATAGCAGTCGATTCCGCGATAATATAACTATTGATATTTTGCGCAGAAGACATCATTTGTCGTCACTTGCGATGACGGACTTAACTGTAGAAGTGCAAATTCACCAGATTCACATTGTATCTAATCGGAATCGTCTTGCGCGGTGACGGCCGTCGTAATGTCATCAATCGATTCATCTATCGTACGCCGTCATTTCACTATCAATAGGCACTTGATACGATTTATTATCCGTGTAATACGCGTTCGTATCTTGTATTATGCGCCATCGTTTTTTAACTCGGAAAAAAGAAACTCAGTATTCTCAAGTCACTTCGTATGAACAATTCCCAAGCGGCCGACTAAAACGGACATTTCTTTCGTTAACATAATTTGTTATAATAACAATGTACAGCGGCCTCCGCGCGGGGGACGTAACAAAACAAAAAAAAGACATCACAAAGCCCGTGACACACATTCGACGTAGTATAATATTCCACCATTGAGCCAATTTTAGTGTTTAAGAAATGTAATGTTAGTTTGAAATATTATTTCACTACGTCTGTCTTCTATCAACCAGCGAGTGATTTCTTTCGTTTGATAATTTATAGAATTTAATAGGAATAAAAAATAAACATGTAGATGTCGGTTAATATTAATATTATTACAATTATCATTACTATTATTATTATGTCTGTCAAACATTTTTACTGGCTGTGCTCAATAGTAAATCTATTTATCGAGTAAACATAATTTGTAATTTATGATTGGTAATTTTATTTTATTTTTATTTACATCAATAGGTAATATCATACTTTGGTTGTTATCTTGAGTAGTGAAATACTATTTATTTTTGTTATTCGATAAAAATAATGCATAACTATATTTATTCTGAAATAATATTATAATATGTAATGATACATTTTTTCTGGCGTCCTTAATAAAATGCAACACCGTCAATTTAAACGTAACTCGTTGCGCCTCTTAGTTAATATTTAATCTCGGTTTTTAAACATTTTATTGATACTATTTAAAATAGAAGTAACTATACGTTTTTAAATTGTCATCAACAATTATTTATATATCTATTCATTGTTCAGTAAAATTATTTCTTTCAACGGTAAGCCACTATTGCATCACGCCTTTTACACAATTTATACATAAACACGTATTACATAAAAATAGACCAATACCTATTAATCAAAATATCGCGATAAAATTATTTCTCATCAATTGATGGTATGAACATGATTTTATTATTATCTCTAATATTTAATAATTCACATTTTTAAATTTCTACAAAAATATTTATTTTCAATCTATATTAAAAAAAAAAAAAAAATAATAATAATAATAATAATAAAAACTATTTATAAGATATCTTGAATTGTTAGATCACATAAAACAATTATTAAATTGTATTTTTTTTATGAACTATCTAAATAATTAATTATAATTGGAATTTGTACCTTATAACTTAATGTATTATTACACGAAACGAAACTTATAATTTATAATTATAGATATTTGGAATAATTAAAAATATTCGATACACGTGTTTAACTAGTACCTATGTTCATTTACAAATATAATATACTTATAAATTGAGCTGTACAATAATTTGTTTTCAACTTAATATTATGACTAGTTTAAGTTAATGTTAAATGTAATTGTTTATTTTTATTCACACGATCAATGTACTATACTATAAAAAATATCACTGATTGTCTAATCTAGACCGTTTACATGGGTAGTATTAAATATACAACGCTTTGTACTCAAATTACTAGTATTTTTCGAGTTCAGTTTGAAATATATGGTCGTCAAAACTGTCATTGTTCGGGTTTGTACGTACATGAAAGAAAATCATAACGTTCAGTAAACAGTACAATAGTAATAACATTTCGTAGTATATGAAAAATATCCCGATTTGATATATAATTATACCTTGACATTGTCATTTTTTTACCTGTCAGTAATTTGGATGCAATGCGTTGGTTATATTTTTTAGCATTGATCATCATGTTATTTTTAGACATAAATTATTGAAAATCTAGGGTAAAAGTTATTACTGATTAAAATTAAAATGTATTTTAGATTACGTTTAAGTTGATAAAATAATAATATTTATAATTGTCATATATACCTACTCTTAAAATACATATATTAATGTACAATTTAATATTTATATAGTTTGGGCAACAGGACCAAGTGGATTGTAGATAAATGTTTATCAAAAATCAAGAAATATAATGTATTATAGATTACATATTTTATTTTTTTGTAGTTTACTTGTTTACTGCGTCGCATTACAAAATTATTACTAAAATAAGTGATCAGCAGGTTTGCCGTGATTGATCTTCGAAACGATTTGATCGAAGACATATCCGGTTTACTGATAACTACAAAGTCAACCGATCACAAGTGTGATTTATAACATACATGCACACACACATATATATATGTATATGTATATACTCGTACGCTCAACGTGGGGTGAAGTCAGTAATACATAATTGTGGTTGTTTTAAATGGTATTATATCTCTGACGAAGAAAATTACTTTTTTTGTAGTACATCGAGTGTAGTATTACATTATCAGAGGCGTTAATTAACGGCTGTGTTTGTGGTGATATCGCAATTTCTATATTGTCGCTCATTTATATACTAGAATTTCTTCGTTTACCCTTTTTCCGGTATTTAAAAATCAAGAGCGATTGTGAAATGTGCAACCATTACAGTCGAACGTCAACAAACGAAATGCGTCGTTCATATTTTAGTCATTTAGAACAACGGTTCTCAACCTAGGGTACTCAAGGGGTACATGAAAAAAAAAATTGGCTAATGGAGGAAAATGTTGAATATGTTTATTTAAAACAATTCATTTCGAAAATATTCATGATATGTTATTAAAAATGAAAATTTGTGTCACAAATTAAAACTTAACTGTCAACTTATTTAATAGATAAAGATTATAGAATGTAACATAGAATTTTTTTGTTATTTTTTATTTAAATATTTTAAAAGTAGTTATGTGAAAAAGTTTAAAAATTATAATGAGGGGTACAATCTAGCAAAATATAAAACTTAGAGGTACGGAACGAAAAAAAGGTTGAGAACCGCTGATTTAGAACGACAGTAACGCGTATGGTAATCATGAATTTCAGTAAAGAGAGCATTTAACGGTTATTAACCTCTTGTTAATTACAATAACGATTATGTTATCAAACATATGTTATGTAGGACAAAACGTTTAGGGTGTATTGTACATTTTAAATCTGAACAGTGTATAATTGGTGTTTTATGAGCAGTTATAAATTGTGTTACGCATTTCATTTTGTTTTTAACCACTGTGTAGCAGAAATTATAATATTTAACATGGCAAGAATTAAATAAAATAATAATATTGTTTAATATATTATTTTGACGCGTATAACGGCGTATAGTATAGGCAATTTAACTACAGTACTACTGCAATAATATGATGGTGTGTATTCGATTTTTGGCTGAAAATTGTTTTTCTATTACTTGTACATAGCGTATGATTCATGTTATTAACGATAATGAAAATAATATTAATTAAGTTTTAATTTTTAAATATTAATATTATTATAGTATAAATCTATAAATATCCTAAAATTATAAAAACAAATGAATCAGTATTATTTATATCCATACATATACACTATATTCTGTGAGGAGAATCCAACTGGATTTCAGTAAGCAACTAATCAACGTGTTCCTAGGCGAAAGCTGTCTTTTGTATGGTGTGTGTACCCGTTACGGTAATAATATTAGTGAGAAATATTAACAAATTATTAATTTATTACTATGAATCATATGAAAATATAAACTAGTTTTATTATTTTGGAATAAATTAGTACTTTTTTTTCTATAACAAGTGTTTATT